GAGACAGGGTTTCTCTGTGGTTTTGGAGCCTGTCCTGGAACTAGCTCTTGTAGACCAGGCTGGTCTCAAACTCACAGAGATCCGCCTGCCTCTGCCTCCCGAGTGCTGGGATTAAAGGCGTGCTCCACCACCGCCCGGTGCGGCTGTGCTTTCTTTTTGCCTTTCTCAGCCTAAGATAGGATCCTGGCTTCTGGCTGTCGCCCTCCATCCCTGCCGAGCCACCACTATGGATGGACCAGCACAGTGCTGCACAGAGAGCATCTATGGTCTGGCAAGGTTGCACCTGTGTTCCTTGAAGCAGCATCCGCATGGACAGTTTAACCTGCTATCCACGTGGCCACTTCTCGGGGACAACTACAAGGATGGTTCGTTTGAAGTTGGGTAGCATCAGAGCCACCATCCAGCAGGCTCTCGACTGAACTGGAGCCCCAGTGGAAATCTGAATAGTAGCTGCCCTTGACAGCAAGCTCTGGTTGTCATGGTAACTTCTCCCAGACCCTGGAGTCAAGAGCAGCACCCCTGAGCTTGAGCTACAACGTGGGGCTGCAGCAGTTTTCGTCGTGGGGGTCTCACTCCTGTTTCTGGCTGTGTGCTTCAGCATCCTGGCCGAGGCAAAGGAGAGTTGGGAGCGAGTGCTTCCATTTGATTTGCCTGCCTGGTCTCTGGTTCCCACGTGGAGACTGAGCAACTATGGCATGTGTGGTCCGGTGATGACTCAGGAAGGGGCATCGTTAAATGCATGGAGGTGCCGTCTACATCTCAGGGACTTGAAGTCTGTAGTTCTGTGGGCACCCATTGATCGCCTGTGTCTCTGGCATTATGCTAGGCACTGGGGTCAGAGGTGAAATTGACAGAGATAGTGCCCTCCCACCAACAGGTGTGCCATGGTTGAGGAGAGGAGTGGGTGAGCAACTTGGTGAAGCTAATGGCAGGGAGGGGGTGCAAAAGTGACCCAGCAGCTGTGCGGTGGTGCACGTCTTTAATCCCAGCACTGGGGGCAGAAACAGGCAGGTCTCTGTGAGTTCAAGGCCAGCCTGGTCTACAAATGCTAGCTCCAGGACAGGCTCCAAAGCCGTGGAGAAACAGGTCTTGAAAAACAAACAAACAAAAAACAAACAAACAAACAAAGTAGCATTGCGTCCTCCCCTTCTCTGGGAGTTAATCCCTCATCCTGAAAGGGCTGAAAATGGCCAATCCTCCCCCTGCTCTGGTCCCTGCAGCCTCAGGGGGAGTGCCATTCTCTGGCCTCCTAGATTCATCTGTTTCATTTTATGTGCATGAATGCTTTGCCTGAATATATGTCTGTTTGCCTGCATATATATATGTATGCAAGCCTGGTGTATGTATATATGTAGGAGCCCGAAGAAGGCGTTAGATTCCCTGGAACCGGAGTTACGGACAGTTGTAATCTGTCACGTGGGTGCTGGCAACAGAACCTGAGTCTTCCAGAAGAACAGCCAGTAGTCTTAACCACAAAGTCATTTCCCCATCCTACTTGCTGATTTTGGACACATCGATAGGACTTGGTCTCAATGCAGTATGCAGGCTGTCTATTCTGGGAGGGGAGTTAGCAGAGATGCTGGCTAAAGGCATAGGGCTGGTGTGGCCGGTGAAAGGAGCGGGTGGAGAAAGGATGGGTTGATGGCAGGTGCAGCATCTCACGGTATGGTGGCTTTTGGATAGGTGCTGTCTATCCTCGGGGCCAGCCAGCGGCTCAGCGGGAAGTGTCAACATAGTCTGTTCAGACAGACTTGGGTTTTGCTACTGTGATGCAGAATGAAAGGGTCTCCTTTGCAGCCTGGGAAGGTGGCTCAGTGCTTGCCTTGTATGCACCAAGCCCTGCGTTCAGCGGCCAGCCCTGCATAAACGAGGTGCGGCGGTGCGCACCTGTGATCCTGGTACCCGGTACTCGAGAGGAGCGGATTGTTTTTCTCTTATTCCCTTGTCCATCCGTTCTCGCTTCACACCCCACATCCATGAGACAGTCCCAGCAGAGCTACCTTTGAAGCTGACTGCAGGCCGGCTCAGTGGTGGTGCACTCTGAGGCAGAGGCAGGGCCTGTCGCTGAGTTTGAGGCCAGCCTGGTGTACATAGTGAGACCATGTCAAAACAAAGTCTCCTTAAGGATAAAATGTGCAAATGTGTTCTGGTGTCTTCTATATAATGGATGCCATTGCACTACCCTGGACTCCACGCCATAGCTGCAGTTGCCTCCCCCAATTCTTTTTCAGATCCCGTTTCTCTGGTTCTGTCCTTTAGACTGCAGCAAGGGAAGGGACCTTTCATCTGCCTCTCACAGGCAGTGTCCCTTTGACCATGCAGCCAACGGCTCCCCCTGGCGGTCTCTAGTGGAACAG